AGAGAGAGAGAGAGTAGAGGGATATATATATAGATATATATAGATATATATATACTGCGCTCTCGCCTCTACAATCAGAGCTGCCCGCGCTAGCATGAGTAGAAGAGAGGAGGTAGAGAGAAACAGAATGTGTCGGATAGGAGACGATATCGAGAAGAGAAATCTAGAAGATAGGATATTCGGTTGATAGTCGTATGAGATCATCTCGAACTCTCTACGTTCCTATCGCGGCTCTCTCCTTTTCTCTCCGTATAACTCGTAGCCTGCTCTCTCGCGCGTCGTCTCCGCTACTCTCCCTCTCCGTCTCGTTCTCGCTTCGCCGCCTAGCCTCGATCTCTACTCTCTATTCCTTTCCCCCTCCTCCTCTCTCTCTCTCTCTCTCCTCTCTCGTCCTCCGCTCTCTCTCTACTGCTCTCCTGCCCTTCCTCTCTCTCCTTACTCCTCGCTCCTACTCGCTCTACTTCACGTCTCCTCTCTCTCTCGCTCTCTCTCTCTCCTCTCTGTCTCCTACTCTCTCTCCGTCATAGGACGAGCAATCATCGGAGCAACTGTAAACACACTAGAGTGTCTGGTAGACATTATCTCTCCTCTGCTATGCCCACAATCAGGAGGCACTTAGCAGAGCAGACAATCACAGCAGGGGTCACAAGGTCAACACGTCAACCGAACAGGGCCAGACAAAGTAGAGAACGTTGGAGGTAAGACTAGGAGCCCTATAGTCACACCAAGGAGGGCACTTAGTGTGAATGGAGAAAATAGTTGGGTGGATTATATGGTCCAAAGACAAGAGTGTTTGTATTGTGGGCGTCAAACTATTTCAAACTATTTCTCTCAATGGTTAAGTTGTTTTACTAAAGCTCTGGACTGGAGGATTTCTATTAGTGTAGCTGTCATCTTGTTGACACCTACATGGATGGATGGATGGAAGGATGAATGTTATTTAATTATTTTCCGGTTGTGGTATGTGTATGATATTTTATCAAGCTTTTGACATACTTGAAGAATGATCTTCGCTATATTTCAAGATTCTTCATAGCAATGTAATGAGCCATACTGTATGGTACACAGGTAGCGTTAGCTCTCATACCATTTATCAATGCACAGACAGTGTTCTATTATAGGTACCTACACTAGGCCTATGTAAGTCTGAGTTGATGGATGGAGTACTGTACAGCAGTGCCCCTAAACGTCCTGTGTGTGTGTGTGTTTGGGTGTGTGTGTTTGTGTTTGCCCCTAAACCCCCTCCAAGCCCCCCTGTAGAGCTTTTTACCCCTTTCCCTCTGTTCTCTATTATGACCACGTTAGGACCACATCACCTCTGATCCATAAAGTTCATAACTCCCTCCCAAATACATTTACCTTTTAGAAAGAAAAAAACCCAGGACTTAAATGAGCTGTTTCATGAGTTTACAATCAAACATCTACTTTAGTGTTTTAACATCTTCTTATGAACATCCTGTTTTCTGGGCTGGTCATGTCTAGCAGGTTAAAAAACTAAACAAGACGTGTTTTTCAGGTGGATGGGGGGAATATATCCATCTGCGGCCAGTCAACGAGCAGACTGAAATATGGAAGGAGAGATGGAGAGAGGGAGGAAACAGAAGAAGAGAGGTCTCAGCGCAGGGCGCCTGGTCTTTCTTTCTGTTTATTTATGAATCTAGTTAACGAGCTTTGTGATTCATAAGCCTGTTCTAACGGCCTTTACGGGACCAAATATTTATGTTAGTTAGGCCACTACTGTGGTGCGCATGTGTGTGTGTGTCTATTTTTTGTCTGTGCTCGGAGCTATCCCTCATGTTGTACGCGTGGCCCCTAAACACCTCACTGCAGACCACAGAGATTAGCCTCTGATTCATGGGTCAAGCCGTACAGGAAAGCTTTTTTAAAGATCCCCGACTGTAAGATAGAGAGCCATGTTGAGTGTCAAAAAAAGTTTGTGTTTGTGTTTGTGTCAATGGCAGTTTCATAAAGATGTCAACTTTATAAAATAAATCCTGTTCTGTATTTCAAAAACCCCGTCCAATTTGTATCAGCATTTCTCAACATATGAGTCACAAATAGAACAGCTTCGATAGACTTATTTTCAATATTTTAAGTGATTTCTTCTTGGTTGTCAGTTATAAGAAGAAAAGCCTCCTCAAAGACAATCCAAGTTGACCTAGTGCTGTATAGACTATAGACAGAAACCTGGCATATCACCAAACACCAGTCAATGGATGCTTTTTATTACACAAAGAACATTATGCACCCCTTCCTCCTCTATAGCCACTCACCTCCCTGACAACACATTGAGATCCTCTAGTCTACCGTGTGTTTGTCAAGAGCATAGTTCATGTCCAGTGCCATGGTCGCCGTGGTTACTGTCAATCTACAGGACGGGACCTGTGTTTACTTTATATATTATGGGATGTTGGGGAGGGAGAGGGTGTTCTGGAGAGGACCTATTTGGTCTGGGATCAGTGTGTGTGTGTGTGTGTGTGTGTGTGTTTGAGGCCTGGGAGTATGGCTCTCCAGAACTTCAGAGGCCAGGACCAAGACGAAGGACCAAGACCAAGTTTGTTCATCATGACACTAATTCTAATTCGATTGGATGGACTGTGAACGCTCGTTGACCGCGAACGTGTGGTCCGATCGTGCCCTCCAACCGTACCCTCCTCTCCCAGGTTAGTCAAGGGGCGAGGAGAAGGGAGGGGGGGAAGGGGAGGAAATGAGTTCTGGTGTCTGCTCCCATTTTCTACGAATGACAGCAAATAAGAGTCTGAATGTGACATTCTTCATGACATCAGCTCTTTAAATTCTCTCTGAGAAGACGAACAAATCATTGTTCATGTTTTTCCCTCGTTGTCAAGCAGTCCCATGGTAACCGTCTCTTCGAGGTTCACTTTCAAAGTGACAAGTCTGATTTCCCCGAAATTTGCTTAAGCTGGAGTTGACACGAGCCAAGAAAACACTAATAGAAAGAGAAAGGAACAGAAAACAGACTACAGCCTTAGTTCTGAAGGCAGAATACACTACATAACAGATTCCTTATGGAAGTCATTTCAAGCATTGCCATCTACAGTGAGGGAAAAAAGTATTTGATCCCCTGCTGATTTTGTACATTTGCCCACTGACAAAGACATGATCCGTCTATAATTTTAATGGTAGGTTTATTTTAAAAGTGAGAGACAGAATAACAACAACAAAATCCAGAAAAACACATGTCAAAAATTTTATAAATTGATTTGCATTTTAATGAGGGAAATAAGTATTTGACACCTCTGCAAAACATGACTTAGTACTTGGTGGCAAAACCCTTGTTGGCAATTACAGAGGTTAGACGTTTCTTGTAGTTGGCCACCAGGTTTGCACACATCTCAGGAGGGATTTTGTTCCACTCCTCTTTGCTGATCTTCTCCAAGTCATTAAGGTTTGGAGGCTGACGTTTGGTAACTCAAACCTTCAGCTCCCTCCACAGATTTTCTATGGGATTAAGGTCTGGAGACTGGCTAGGCCACTCTAGGGCCTTAATGTGCTTCTTCTTGAGCCACTCCTTTGTTGCCTTGGCCGTGTGTTTTGGGTCATTGTCATGCTGGAATACCCATCCACGACCCATTTTCAATGCCCTGGCTGAGGGAAGGAGGTTCTCACCCAAGATTTGATGGTACATGGCCCCGACCATCGTCCCTTTGATGCGGTGAAGTTGTCCTGTCCCCTTAGCAGAAAAACACCCCCAAAGCATAATGTTTCCACCTTCATGTTTGACGGTGGGGATGGTGTTCTTGGGGTCATAGGCAGCATTCCTCCTCCTCCAAACACGGCGAGTTGAGTTGATGCCAAAGAGCTCGATTTTGGTCTCATCTGACCACAACACTTTCACCCAGTTCTCCTCTGAATCATTCAGATGTTCATTGGCAAACTTCAGACAGCCCTGTATATGTGCTTTCTTGAGCAGGGGGACCTTGCGGGCGCTGCATGATTTCAGTCCTTCACGGCGTAGTGTGTTACCAATTGTTTTCTTGGTGACTATGGTCCCAGCTGCCTTGAGATCATTGACAAGATCCTCCCGTGTAGTTCTGGGCTGATTCCTCACCGTTCTCATGATCATTGCAACTGAGATCTTGCATGGAGCCCCAGGCCAAGGGAGATTGACAGTTCTTTTGTGTTTCTTCCATTTGCGAATAATCGCACCAACTGTTGTCACCTTCTCACCAAGCTGTTTGGCGATGGTCTTGTAGCCCATTCCAGCCTTGTGTAGGTCTACAATCTTGTCCCTGACATCCTTGGAGAACTCTTTGGTCTTGGCCATGGTGGAGAGTTTGGAATCTGATTGATTGATTGCTTCTGTGGACAGGTGTCTTGTATACAGGTAACAAGCTGAGATTAGGAGCACTCCCTTTAAGAGTATGCTCCTAATCTCAGCTCGTTACCTGTATAAAAGACACCTGGGAGCCAGAAATCTTTCTGATTGAGAGGGGGTCAAATACTTATTTTCCTCATTAAAATGCAAATCAATTTATAACATTTTTGACATGCGTTTTTCTGGATGTTGTTGTTGTTATTCTGTCTCTCACTGTTCAAATAAACCTACCATTAAAATTATAGACTGATCATTTCTTTGTCAGTGGGCAAACGTACAAAATCAGCAGGGGATCAAATACTTTTTTCCCTCACTGTAGATGACTGTTAGTGGTTGTGCCAATGAAACTGGCTACACTTGGACTGGTATCCCTCACAATACATTAAATACACCTCATCAACATATAAATGTTAAAATGTTAAATGTTATATAGATATCTGCTATTGATTCATTTTCTGATGGAACAAAGCTGTTAGTCCTGAGTGGTATATGAGTTAACTGTGTTTCTCCTGTATTTTACATATGGGGCCGACTGTGTGATGTGTGTCTGGCACATCAGGACTACTCTGTTGGCTTATAGTGGGGTTGTGGAGACGTATAGAGAACACACACACCCACCCACCCACATTCATTCAGACACTCTCCAGTGCTGGCTTCTCAGCTTCGCATGGCGGCCCTCTTGACAGGAACACACAGACGAGCTCAGCGGCATTCTGGGACCAGGCGGTGCCGAGGCCAATCATGGATGAGATGTTCCGTGTCCCGGGACCAGGCTGGGGTCGTGACCTCTACAGATGGGACGGCCAGACTCAGTGTGAGCTCTGCTCTCCTCACCACTCCCTCTCTGGTCAGACCTCACACTCTGAGAGGATAGAGGGATACTCCTCTGGCACCTCTTCCTGACTTTCAACTCTCCTTTCCCTTGTATGTTCCTCTCCTCTTTCTATCACTCTCTTCCTCCCCTTATTCATTCTAGCCATTTCCCTCCATCCCCACTTCCTCTCCTCCATATCCCTCTTGTATTTTACTTCCTCTTCTCCATATCCATCTTGTATTTTACTTCCTCTCCTCCATATCTGTGACGAGGTGTGAAAGAAGGAGTCAGGCGCAGGAGGTAAAATACCGAAGTCCAGAGTTTAATCCGTTTGCATAAATCAAACGCCCCAAGCGTCAAACGACACTGTACAAGGGAAAACATCCACCTTGGCAATAACACAGTGAAATGTAGCTCAACCGAGCTACACACTCTCACAACAAAACAATCACTCACAAAGACAAGGGGAACAGAGGGAACACTTATACACATACTAATTAGGGGAATGAGCACCAGGTGTGTGTGATTGACAAGACATGACAAGTGGAGTGATGAGAATGGGATCGGCAGTAGCTAGTACTCCGGTGACGACGAACTCTGAAGCCTGCCCGAACCAGGAGGGGGGCAGCCTCGGCGGAAGTCGTGACAATATCCATCTTGTATTTTACTTCCTCTCCTCCATATCCCTCTTGTATTTTACTTCCTCTCCTCCATATCCCTCTTGTATTTTACTTCCTCTCCTCCATATCCCTCTTGTATTTTACTTCCTCTTCTCCATATCCTCCCCTCTTTCCATATTTTCTTGTCTTCCCCTCTTCCATGTCCTTCTGCCCTTCCTCTGTCCTTCTGCCCTTCCTCTGTCCTTCTGCCCTTCCTCTGTCCTTCTGCCCTTCCTCTATCTCCTCGATCTCTGGCTCTTTCCATTCCCCTCCTCTTTCTGCTCCATCACCTCATCCCTCTTTCCTCCTCTCCTGATAGTTTCATTCCAAGCAGGCTTGATACCACAGCATCAGACAGTTAGACAGACACACACATTGGAAGCAGGCAGCGTCCATTTATCAGGGAAGAGAAGCTCTCCGTAACGATTCTGTACTTTAGTCTCTATTCTCAGCAGAGGACATCGTCAGATAAATCAACAGAGAAGATGGTGATCTCACGCTGCACTTCCCTCTCAGAGGCAGTGATAAGTATTTTAATGTAACGGCCATGCACTCATTTGTTAGACCTGGTGATGACATTTGTTCAAGGTTTTCTGGCCATTAATAGGGATAGTGTCATATTGAAATAATAGTTAACCTCTCCCTGAACAAAAGACAAGGAGATAAAGAGATGAATGGTTTAAAGTCGTGCTCTTTGACCTGAAGCAGATTGGGTCTCTCTCTGCTCAAGGGATTACTGGCGTTACAAATGTTGTGAATGTTTATGTATTTTACAAATACTTTATTGGGGTTCTTTATTAAAAGTTGTCATGACTCATGACCCATTAAGACTAGTAGGCTAGTTTTGGTCAGGTGATGCAGGATTTCATCAGTGATGTTGATGTTTCACCTTGTGTTTTTGATCAAGATAATAGACTTGCAGTTCTTAAGTTCATGTTGGGAATTTGAAGAACATTTTCCTTTGTTGGCATGCATCAAAGCTAAACATCACAAAATGTTTATTTCTTGGAAGTAAACAAAGTTACTGATCTGAAACGTTGTGTCTCGGGAACATTGTAGATGTTGCACGTAACCTGGGAACCGTCCTCACAGGCTATGTTCTGTGGTCCAATGGAGATGTCAGTGACGTCGACAGACACTCTTTGTCAAGTAGCCTACAGTATCAGGTGGCGTTTTTAGCCATTGTTTTTCATTTTTCAGAGATGATATATAATAATTTCTAACCATTGATTTGAAGCTAGTTACAGTACCGTATACAGTATAATCATTGTGAGCTGAAAAAATAATGGTTTTGGTGTCAAAACGTGTATGTTCTCGTGTATAGAGGCCAAATTTCTAAACAACGCCTCAATGAAATCAAATAACTTATCTGATGATAATTATCTCCCCCCTCTGCACTCCCCCCCCCCCCCCCCTCCCCGCTATCCTGTGTGCTTCAGTTTGTAGAGCATGGCACTTGCCATTCCAGGAGTGTGAGTTTGATTCCCACACGGGACCAATACGAAAAAGTATGAAAATGTATGCACTCACTACTGCAAGTCACTTTGGAGAAGAGCGTCTGCTGAATGACTACAATGTTAAATTGTGAGTAAGACAGTATCTACAGTGTTTTCCTAAACTCTCCATTTTTGAGACAAGAGCCAACTTGGGTGGCTGTTCTTTAGTGTATCCGGCCGCTTCTCACTGTTGTCCACTCAGGATCCTAGGCATTGGTTTTAAGAGTCCTCTCCTGTCAACACCCAACATGTAATATCCAGCTCTCAAAACATGACACCCCAGGCTCTTCACTCTGTGTGTGTGTGTGTGTGTGTGTGTGTGTGTGTGTGTGTGTGTGTGTGTGTGTGTGTGTGTGTGTGTGTGTGTGTGTGTGTGTGTGTGTGTGTGTGTGTTTGTTTGTGTGTGCGTGCGTGCGGCTCTTCACACGATGGGCAGGATAACAAGAGGAACGTTTATCCCGACCACCCCATTGAAGTCCTCCAAAAATTGTTCCCATATGGTTCAGGCTAATACATCCTTACTAGATGCAATACAACACATCAAAGTCCTTCATAAAACTAAGCCCAAAAATGTCATGGATTTTGCATTTCTGCTTTTTTCAGCTGAATCATCATGAAGCACACACGCACACAAACAAGCGCACACACACACCTCTATCCTGAACAGTATATCTCTGAGATGGTAGCCATGGGGGTGAGGGTAGGGGTGCAGGGGGTGTCTGTGGGGCCCCAGGGGTTCTCTCTGGCCCTCATCTAGAGCTGAGAAAAACCAGCAGCTGTGGATTGGGGGGGGGGGGTGTTAACTGATAACAACAGACCCCCAAAAAACACACCACCACCCATCCCCCTGTCTAACCCCCCTACCTTAACCCCCCCCCCCCCAACCCCCAACCCCCATTACCTTAACCATCCACCACTCTAACCCCCCAAAACTCCAGGTTTATCCTGTTTAGGAGTCCTGCCCCCCCCAGCCATAAACACAAACACACAAACACACTTCTAATGCTCTCGTTCAACAAGTGTTCAACTTCTCTAGAGGTTTCATATACAAATCACTTCAAAAGTTCAGACTGATTTAAGCTATAAGAATTTGTGTATTTACTCAGTGCTTTCCCTTTTCAGTTGTATTGCTAGACTATACTGTAGACTTACCAGTATTACTAGACTATACTGTAGACTAACCAGTATTACTAGACTATACTGTAGACTAACCAGTATTACTAGACTATACTGTAGACTAACCAGTATTACTAGACTATACTGTAGACTAACCAGTATTAACAGACGTTGATTAATGTCTGTTTATGCTGGGTTATGTTCCTGTCATGTCTGCTAGCACTGATTGTATCTGTCCTAAATGGCACCCTGTTTTCTATATAGTGCGCTACCTATGACCATAAACCTATGGGCCCTGCTCTAAAGTATTGCACAATCTAGAGAATAGGATGGAATGTCAGACCAACCACTGTGTACTCCTATTGATTTAACCACAGTACACACCAGCAGAGGGAAACCTTTCATCCTTAACTCAACATGTCCTGTCACACTGCAATAAACCATGTTCCAGTCCTTACACACACACACACACACACACACACACACACACACACACACACACACACACACGCCCCTCCCCCCTCCCCCCCCCCTCCCCCCTCCCCCCACATACACACAATAAACTCCACTCCAGACCTTACAAAACACTTAAAGCCACCAGACAAACATAATAAACGTTTAGATCCTGTTGAAATTATAACGTCTGCGTTCCTTAATTCCACCCTATTCCCTATGTAGTGCACCACTGTTGCTATGGTCAAAAGTAGTGCACTACATAGGGAATAGAGTGCCATTTGTGACCAAGCCAAAGTATAGATCTCAACAGCAAAAAGGGATCAGCCCTCACGTAGAAGATTATAAGCCTGATAGGTCAGTTTGTTTGGGTACGTTATGAGTGCTATGATTATAGTATAATGCATATATTATTCTTTGATTACTCACACTTCAAATAGAGCACATTGAGAATGTATATTGTTCTAAAGAATGTATATTAAGAATGTATATTGTTCTAAAGAATGTATATTAAGAACGTATATTGTTCTAAACGGGTTCTGGGGCTTTCAAAATGTTCCTGTTTTTCAGCACCTATGTTATTTTGCCTGTACTAATGTCGTCAGTATTATTAGTCAGAAATGAAACATAGATGAGAAATAACACAGCATTAAAACACACCCTTTCAACATTAATATCTAGATTCACAATCACAGACATCCATTCACAGACCTCATTCAGTATTTACCAAGGCCTGAAAACAGATGTCATCATGGGTTTAGTGATTCTACTCCTGATGTTGTGCAGTAAAGCAGTGTGCTTCACGTCTGACGGTTTGCCTATAATGTCAGGCAATCGCGAAGGGAGGCTGAGAATGCGTTAGCGGCACGTTAGGGCTGACCTCTGTGACAGCGCTGCCACTTGTATCACACATGGGGTCAGAGGTCAGCGTTTCATGTCCCTGTATAGAGTTACAGGGAAACAGGGCCAACAGGGCTCTCAGGCTTTGTACTGAGACGGGGACTGATTGACAGCCTACCACTAATGCCTGCCATGATGAGGGACGTCGGAGGATCAGGGAATGGATCACTCCTGGTGTTTCATATGTCACTTAGTTTGCATACAATTTTGGTAATGTCTACAACGCAGATTAATCGTATATTTTGGTAATGTCTATAAATCAGATGAATCATGTATTTTGTACACATATTTAGCAATTAATTCCATAAATTATTCTAGCTTTAAAATTCTAAACATACACATACTTTAGGCCTATGCAGAAAAAAATTAGTGGAATCTTCTGTGGTAATTTAAGTTTTTTATATTCACACCATGGTTTGATCTCCCTACATAAACATACTGCATATAAACCCACTCTGCTCCTAATGATAAACACCATGTCAGCTTTATTGGCTTCATAGGGCTGCTAAAGGCCTCAGACCAGCTAGAGCCACACACACACACACACACACACACACACACACACACACACACACACACACACACACACACACACACACACACACACACACACACACACACTCACACACACACACTCACACACACACACACACACACACACACACACACACACACACACATAGCTTTATAGGGCTGCTAAAGGCCTCAGACCTGCTAGAGCCACACACACACACACACACACACACACACACACACACACACACATAGCTTTATAGGGCTGCTAAAGGCCTCAGACCTGCTAGAGCCACACACACACACACACACACACACACACACACACACACACACACACACACACACACACACACACATAGCTTTATAGGGCTGCTAAAGGCCTCAGACCTGCTAGAGCCACACACACACGCACACACGCGCACACACACACACAAATGTTGTTGGTCGCATACACATATTTAGCAGATGTTATTGCAGGTGTAGCAAAATGCTCCTAGTGTTCCTAGCTCCAACAGTGCAGTAATATCTAACAATACACAACAATACGCACAACTCTAAAAAGTTAAAGAATGGAATTAAGAAATACTGAAATATTAGGATGAGCAATGCCGGAGTCCGGAGTATAAATATATATATATACACTACCAGTCAAAAGTTTAGACACACCTACTCATTCAAGGGTTTTTCCTTTATTTTTACTCTTTTCTACATTGTAGAATAATAGTGAAGGCATCAAAACAATGAAATAACACATGTGGAATCATGTAGTAACCAAAATAGTGTTCAACAAATCAACATATATTTTATATTTGAGATTCTTCAAATAGACACCCTTTGCCTTGATGACAGCTTTGCACACTCTTGGCATTCTCTCAACCAGCTTCATGAGGTAGTCACCTGGAATGCATTTCAATTAACAGGTGTGCCTTCTTAAAAGTTAATTTGTGGAATTTCTTTCCTTTTTAATTCGTTTGAGCCAATCAGTTGTTTTGTGACAAGGTAGGGGGAGGTATACAGAAGATAGCCCTATTTGGTAAAAGACCAAGTCCATATTATGGCAAGAACAGCTCAAATAAGCAAAGAGAAACGACAGTCCATCATTACTTTAAGACATGAAGGTCAGTCAATACGGAAAATGTCAAGAACTTTGAAAGTTTCTTCAAGTGCAGTCGCAAAAAACATTAAGCGCTATGATGAAACTGGCTCTCATGAGGACTGCCACAGGAATGGAAGACCCAGAGTTACCTCTGCTGCAGAGGACAAGTTCATTAGAGTTACCAGCCTCAGAAATTGCAGCCCAAATAAATACTTCACAGAGTTCAAGTAACAGACACATCTCAACATCAACTGTTCAGAGGGGACTGTGTGAATCAGGCCTGGTACTGTGTATATATATATATATATATATATATATATATATATATATATATATATATATATATATATATATGATGGGATGTATAGACAATGTGAACAATATGGACAGTATATGGATAGAATATTTCTTATATATGTAAAATATGTAGGATAGAATAGTATATGTACAGCATTAGTTGAATAGGATGACTAGAATACAGTATATACATATGACATGAGTAAAACAATATGTAAACATTATTAAAGTGACCAGTGTTCCATGTCTATGTACATAGGACATCAGTCTCTAAGGTGCAGGGTTGAGTAACCGGGTGGTAGCCGGCTAGTGACAATGACTAAAGTTCAAGGCAGGGTACTGGGCGGAGGCCGGCTAGCGGTGACTATTTAACAGTATGAGGGCCTGGACTGACCTCGCCTTCTGGATGGTAGCAGGCTGGGTGGCTGAGGTCCTTGATGATCTTCTTGGCCTTCCTGTGACACTGGGTGCTGTAGATGTCCTAAGGGCAGGCAGTGTGCCCCCGGTGATGCGTTGTGCAGACGGCACCACCCTCCGAGGAGCCCTGTGGTTGTGGACGGTGCAGTTGCCGTACCAGGCGGTGATACAGCCCGACAGGATGCTCTCAAGGGTGCATCTGTAAAAGTTTGTGAGGGTCTTAGGGGCCAAACCAAATTTATTCAGCCTCCTGAGATTGAAGAGGCTCTGTTGCGCCTTCTTCTCCACACTGTCTGTGTGGATGGACCATTTCAGATTGTCAGTGATGTATACGCCGAGGAACTTGAAGCTTTTCACCTTCTCCACTGCGGCCCTGTCGATGTGGATGGGGGCGTGCTCCCTCTGCTGTCTCCTGAAGTCCACGATCAGCTCCTTCATTTTGTTGACGTTGAGGGAGAGGTTTATGAGCCAGTCAACTGAAGGAATGGTTCTCTAACTACACCACCTAGCCTGGTTAAACCACACTGAATGCTGTGCTCACCCTTGTTTCCCTTTACGTCAATCTGGTTTAACCAGGCTATGTAGACCTACCTTTCACTGACACCCACAGCTTTGTCAGACGTCTGGCTCTGGCTCTGGCAAGACCTCCAGTTTAGATACAGTGGGGTAATAGCCAGGTATAAGGAAACGTGCACACACTCTCCCTCTCTCCCTCTCTCCCTCTCTCTCTCTCCCTCTCTCCCTCTCTCTCTCTCTCTCTCTCTCTCTCTCAATTCAATTCAAAGGGCTTTATTGGCATGGGAAACATATGTTTACATTGCCAAAGCAGGTGAAATAGATAATAAACAAAAGTGAAATAAACACTATATTTCTCTATGCCTCTCAAACACACACACACACACACACACACACACACACACACACACACACACACACACACACACACACACACACACACACACACACACACACACACACACACACACACACACACACACACACACACACACACACACACACACACACATCTGTGTCCCGTTAGATTGCTCTTCGCTATTAGTCCCTTTTTTTAGCCAGATTGAATTGAAAGTCCTCATGGAAAGTTAGTTCTATCAGAAGGTTCCAGATAATTGCTTTGGGAACCAGTGAGTACATAAAATACATCTTTGGCTCAATTGGCTATTTCTTCATTTATTCCCCACCTGTTAGTTAAAGCATTTATTTTGTTATTACTGCATATTATCACATCTTAATGTCCCTCTAAAGTACAACCATTTTTGTTTCGTTATTTTTGGCCGCTTTTTACATTCTCTCGATTTTATCATTAGTATGGCCCAGAGTGTTCCTGGCTCCATGACCTGACCAGAGGAAATGATGTGTTCTAGTTAGGCTATAACTATCATTTAATTGCCTTATAATTATTTTCCTGACCAGTTTTTCCCGGCCACATACAGTATCCTGACCAGGAGAAACACAGATAAAAGTACAGTTGAGTGAGTTCTCATGACAGTTCAGTTAAATTATGACATAATCCAGGCAGGGAGGAGAGACAGTTGACTGGGAAGATACAGACCAGCCAGAGAGAGAGAGAGAGAGGGGGGGGGAGAGAAGCAGGCAGTGTCCCTGTAAACAATAACACTCCAGCCATTCAGCTGAAATAGGAACAATATTGGGCTAGCAGCAGGGAGCCCAGGCTCTCCAAATAGTCTGACTGACAGTCCGAAAAGAGGAGGGGGGGGGGGGGGGGGGAGTGTGTGAGTTTGGGAAAATACAGGTAAAGGAGGGAGAGTGAGAGGGAGGGAGGGAGAGAAAGAGAGACAGAAACCAAAAGAGAGGACACCTGAGAGAGAGAGAAGGAAAATGAGACATAAAGAGAGACATTGTGAGAAAAAGAGTGAAAGTGATGGAGAGAGAAATAACAAGAGAAAGAGAAATTCTCCTCATCCCCTCCTCCCCTCCCTCCTGCCTCCTCCTGAGAAATTAGGAGTCCCTCCCTCCTCTCTCTCCCCTCCCTCTCTCTCTCCCTCAGCCTCTGTGCTCTAATTTAACAGTGTGTAGAGAGGAGCTGACAGTCAGTCTACACTGAGCCCTGCTGGATACTAGCTGTGAGAAGCTGAGCCCTGAGCCTCTTGTAACTCCATCCTACTACGTACAGCCCACCATGGATGTCAAAGTACTGGCTGTGTTGGCCCTACTGGCTGTGGCCATGGATGTACCTCTCTCTACGGGTGAGTTGGTCTGGGAATGGGTTATCTGTCTGGGCATGTCTTCCACACTCTTAGAAAAAAAGAAACTAAAAGGGTTCTCGGCTGTCCCCATAGGATAACCCTTTGAATAACCTTTTTAGGTTCCAGGTAGAACCCTTTTGGTTCCAGGTAGAAACCTTTTGAGTTATATGTAGAACCCTTTACACAGAGGGTTCTACATGGAACCCAAAAGAGTTCTACCTGAAACCAAAAAGGGTTCTACCTGGAACCAAAACGGGTTATCCTATGGGACAGCTGAAGAACCCCTTTGGAACCCTTTTTCTTAGAGTGTATTAGTGTGTATTAGTGTGTTATTTCTAATGTTATATCTATCTCTATCTATCCCTTTATTTTTGTCATTTTAGTAACTTAGCAAAGAGGAACTTTATGTATGTGTTCTAGAATGTCTGGGGATGTGATTTATTCTAGAAAAGGAAGATGTTTTGGTGGTTGTGGAGGTTGTCTTGATAATTTTGGTGAATTTGAATAGATGTTGTTAGAATAGATGTGGTTCTTGTGACATATGGCTGGTGTTGCTGAGAGAAGGTTTACACAACAGAAGAACTTGTGGTTATGAGTTGTGGTTGTGGAGATTGTCTTTTGGCTCCTTGATTTTTGACTGGTTTTGCTAAAAGAAAAGCAGTAAGTGATCATTGTGATGTGATGGAGAGGTTGTACTCAAACTGGTTACATTTGCTTTTTGTTGTTGTTGTTTGTATAGTTGAATTTTAAGTAGTTGGTTATTAGGATTTTTCTGGAAATGTGTAGGTTTGTATTTGCTTTTGCCTTTATTGATGTCTCTTCTCAGTTGCCTTTTGTTGCAAAACTTTCTGTCTCTTCTCAGTTGCCTTTTGTTGTAAAACTTTAATTAAAGACTGTTTCTATTTGCTTTTAACACTTTGATATTTCAACCACTTTGATTTCTCAAATCTTACATCTTAACGGCATACAAATTAACAATTAAAACTATTTGTCAAATAAAGAAAGAAAGATCTTACAATTTAGAGGATAATGGGCCAGGGAGTCAGTGTCCCAAATGGCTAAGTCTCCCCCATGTCAATATCACAGCAATGCCCCTCCACCTTATCAGGCTCCTTTATAATGCTAATAATGGATCATTATGTATGCTGCTTACAGCACCCGGCCACAAGTGAGCATCTAGCTACAACCCTGCTTCCCAACTAGAACCCTATTCCTTTATATAGTGCACTACATTTGACCAGTGCCAATAGGGAAACACATAGGGCTCTGGTCAGAAGTGCACAAAATAGGAAATAGTGTGCCATTTGGAATGTAGTTAGGTCCTTTCACGACCTGCCCTGTTTAGCCCCTAATTAGTTTCTAATTAAAAGAAAGCAAAGAAAATAGATAAATACACACATTACCCCCTCCATCACCCCGGCCATCCTATCGTCTTTAACATGCAGTCAGGGTCTCCCTAACAACAGGCTTAGCATAACACAGCAGAGGATCGGCTAACTTCAATTCAACACTTCTCTTTGACTTCTCTCTCTCCTGATGTCGTTTACTTTGCAATGGATTAATGTGATCACAGTTTAATCCAACAGTCAAACAAGGGAGCCATTTGTAAGCCGTTAAGATGTAAGATTCGAGAAATTAAAGGAATGTAAATATGAAAGTGTTTAAAAGCAAACTGAGTCTTTCATGAACGTTTTACAACCACAAGGCACATGTATACATGTTCAGCCAATTGTCCTCTTCCCATCTTTAAAGAAAAACAAAAGAAAACATTGTTGGAAACAGGTTATCAAGAATTTCACGTCACGGAACATGTTAGAATTTCAAACGGAATTGGTTAATCTTGTGTGAAATTTTCGGGAGGGTATCCCCTCTGAAATCCCTGAAACTAAGAATCTTTTTACTCAAAAGCCTATGTATATGTTTCTTAGTTTCAGGAACCAGTAGGAACCAGGGGTGATACGCAATCATTCTAAGAATGTAGCCTACTTCTTAAAGGGACTCTTTTGATAAGAATCTAAGCTTTGTGTTCTTGGAGCTTTGAGAAAGAGGGGAAATATTGGGAGCCCCAGTGGAGTACAGCAATAAGGGCTCTTCTGGGTTAGAGAGCTGTGTCTTAAATGTACATAGTGAAAAGGCAGTATGATGGTTGATGGGACAATGAGCGCTGGTTTGAGAGTCTCTCTCTGTGTGTGTGTGTGTATGTGTGTGTGTGTGTGTGTGTGTGTGTGTGTGTGTGTGTGTGTGTGTGTGTGTGTGTGTGTGTGTGTGTGTGTGTGTGTGTGTGTGTGTGTGTGTGTGTGTGTGTGTGTGTGTGTGTGTGTGTGTGTGTGTGTGTGTGTGTGTGTGTGTGTGTGTGTGTGTGTGTGTGTGAGTGTGTGTGTGAGTGTGTGTGGCAGACTAATCTCTTTTTAATTGCCTTGCATTTGGAACTAAATGCAGGTAAATGTATACTTTCCCATGCATTGTCAGGGTTAGATACAGCAGATTGAACATCTAATTTGTACTTGGTGGGATGTAGTGTTTAATTATTTGTTATATGCATTTAAAGGCATGGAAATGTGTGCTGTTTTGTCTTAATGGTGTTTTATTTGATATATATAGATAACTATAACAGTTTGATTGAATTATTTAAATGAAATGTATTTTCCTCTCAGAGCTTTCAAAATTGTATTTGATTCTGAACAACATATTAAAGTAATCTTCTTTAATGCATGCTTTTTGCTAGTTTTATCTTAAGTGTAGCTATTTGCCATGCTCAGCAGGCCAGTTGAAAGTCAGACATGTTTAACGGTTTAACAGAAATACTGGCGTTTACCCAAGTGAGTGTGTAGGTGAATAACAACAGGTAAAAGTGGAGTAGTGTTGAGTGTATACAATGGGAGTTTGGTGAGAGTGTGTGAGTGTGTGAGAGCTATTTATGAGACCTGGTTGTAACACTGTGTAAACCAATCTCACACACCACTGACTATTGATTTAGGAGATGTTGCTGTCATGTAGTCCAGTGAAGATTGATTTATTAAGTCCAGCGGCAACGGAAATCTGTCTTCTACTTTATCCTGTTTGTTCTAACAAGCTCTGATATGAAATGAACAAATTCATCCTTGTGTGGGACAAAAGTCAGGTAACTGTATACTTTCCCATGCATTGTCGGGGTTAGATACAGTAGATTAAACATCTTTGTTCTAACAAGAAGCTCTGATATTAAATATACCTAGTTTCCTTCCTGCAATGATTCTGGGTTGTTGCATTTTGGAGATGTTGGTTCTCATATTGTTGGTTCTTCTCTAACTATCATAATGCTAGCATTGAGACATTACTGTATCTCACACTGTGAACTTAGGTTGTTTTAGTTTTAAGACATAGAAATGGTCAAACCTCACATTCTCTCTGTGTCCGGTACCTGGTACCCGGTACCTGTACAGTATCTTAGTATGTTTCTGGTTGTTGTTTTCAGCTAAGCCCATCAGCCTGGTAGAGAGGTGCTGGTGTCGCTCCACACTCAACACCGTCCCTCAGAGGAGCATCAGAGAGCTCAAGTTCCTTCACACACCCAACTGCCCTTTCCAAGTCATGTGAGTAACCTGCTGGTGCATTATGGGATGTTTTTTAAATCTGATTTTGGGTTGGGTTTTAGAAGACTAACAGCTAAGTTCCTTAGCTTGTCATGTGAAGAACCTTCCATACTGCTCATGAGAACAACTAGATCACTGTATTGCTGCTCCCAAATGTCAATGTATTCATTAGAAAGACGGGAGTGACAGGAAGTTCTGTAGGAGACACCTCCATGTTCTCCTCAACCCTGCACTACACAGCACAGATAAGAAAGGACTATGGTTACCAACACTGGACATCCCACACAGCACACACAGTGTTGCTGCTCACAGAAGTGAAGCTATTCAATATTTTTAGACAGACTTTTTCTGGAGATAAACCAGAACTACAGTGCATTTGGAAAGTATTCAGACCCCTTTACTTTTTCCACATTTTGTTACGTTACAGCCTTATTCTAAAATTGATTTCATTATTTTTTCCCCTTATCGATCTAAATACAATACCCCATAATGACGAAGTCAAAACAGGTTTTTAGAAATGTTTGCAAATGTATTACAAATAAAAAACAGAAATACCTTATTCACATAAGTATTCAGACCCTTTGCTATGAGACTCGAAATTGAGCTCAGTTGCATCCTGTTTCCATTGATTGATCATCCTTGAGATGTTTCTACAACTTGATTGGAGTCCACCTGTGGTAAATTCAATTGATTGGACATGATTTGGAAAGGCACACACCTGTCTATAGAATGGCTTGCAAAATAATTCACCCCCCTTGGCGTTTTTCCTATTTTGTTGCATTACAACCTGTAATTTAAATGGATTTTTGTGGGGTTTGTATTATTTGATTTACACAATTTGCCTACCACTTTGAAGATGCAAAATATTTTTTCTTGTGAAACAAACAAGAAATAAGACAAAAAAACAGAAGACTTGAGCGTGTATAACTATTCACCCCCCCAAAGTCAATACTTTATAGAGCCACCTTTTATAGCAATTACAGCTGCAAGTCTCTTGGGGTATGTCTCTATAAGCTTGGCACATGTAGCCACTGGGATTTTTGCCCATTCTTCAAGGCAAAACTGCTCCAGCTCCTTCAAGTTGGATGGGTTCTGCTGGTGTACAGCAATCTTTAAGTTATACCACAGATTCACAATTGGATTGAGGTCTGGGCTTTGACTAGGCCATTCCAAGACATTTAAATGTTTGCCCTTAAACCACTCAAGTGTCGCTTTAGCAGTATGCTTAGGGTCATTGTCCTGCTGGAAGGTGAACCTCGTCCCAGTCTCAAATCTCTGGAAGACTAAAACATGAATACTTTTGCAAGGCACTGTATAAGGTCCCACAGTTGACAGTGCATGTCAGAGCAAAAAAACAAGCCATGAGGTCGAAGGAATTGTTCATAGAGCTCCAAGATAGGATTGTGTCGAGGCACAGATCTGGGGAAGGGTACCAACAAATGTCTGCAGCATTGAAGGTCCCCAAGAACACAGCGACCTCCATCATTCTCAAATGGAAGAGGTTTGGAACCACCAATACTTTTCCTAGAGCTGGCTGCCTGGCCAAACTGAGCAATCGGGGGAGAAGGGCCTTGGTCAGGGAGGTGACCAAGAACCCGATGGTCAGTCTGATAGAGCTCCAGAGTTCCTCTGTGGAGATGGGAGAACCTTCCAGAAGGACATCCCTCTCTGCAGCACTCCACCAATCAGGCGTTTATGGTAGAGTGGCCAGACAGAAGATCTAGCGGACTCACTAAACACAAGCTTTGTTTGTAAATGATGTATGAGTGTTGGAGTGAGCCCCTGACTATCCGTAAATTTAAAAACACGTGAAAATGGTGCCGTCTGGTTTGCTTAATATAAGGAATTTGAAATGATTTATACTTTTACTTTTACTTTTGATACTTAAATATATTTAAAACCAAATACTTTTAGACTTTTACTCAAGTAGGATTTTACTGGGTGACTTTTACTTTTACTTGAGTCATTTTCTATTAAGGTATCTTTACTTTTACTCAAGTATGACAATTGGGTACTTTTTCCACCACTGCTGAATACTTATGTAAATGTGATATTTCAGTTGTTGTTTTTTGTAAATTTGCAAACATTTATGAAAAACCTGTTTTTGCTTTGTCATTATAGAATAAGGCTGTAGCATAACAAAAAGTCAAGGGGTTTGAATACTTTCCGAATGCACTGTATATAGGCCTAGTAAAGCAGTGGTCAGCAACCCTGGTGTGAGACAGCTGCATGTTGAGTGTGTGAGCAAGCTATGGTTCCCGGGCACAGCAGTGAAGCACCTGATTCAACTCATCAACTAATCGTCAAGGCTGCGTTTTGTTGAATCAGCTGTTTGTTTTAGGGCTGGGCAGAAACCTGTCAATGCTACGGTCCATGTTACTCTACGGGACCACAGCAATATAGTTTAACCAGAGACGGAAGAGAAAGCGAAACATCCCACTCCCTCATTTTTTCTGGTTTATATATAGTCAATGAACTAAGTACACCAGACCCAGCTGCTAATGAATTGGTGCATATGGGAGAGCCACCCCATAAGCAGACCGGATCTGTGACATTTATTTCTAATGATAAACGGCCTGAGTGGGACATCTTCATTTATCCACCATCTTTGGATTAACAAAGCACAAACCAACATGGGTGAAACCAGAAAGACCTTAGCCTGATAAGTATAGTCAATTAGGGATAAACTAGCCTGGTTCCAAATCTGTTTGTGTGGTCTTGCCAACTCTTATAGTCAGCTCCTAGTGCAAAACCTATTCAGAATAGCCTGATTCAGCCCAGTAAGACCCCTCTGTTAATAAGATCCCATGTGGATTCTAATGGCGCTTAACTTTGGTTCCCATTGCATTGGGCTAAGCATCAGTCTCATATTATGAGGTTTTAATGATTGCAGTTGGAGGACCACAGTGATGGGAAAGAGAGAGAGAGCGAGAGAGAGAGAGAGAGAGAGAGAGAGAGAGAGAGAGAGAGAGAGAGAGAGAGAGAGAGAGAGAGAGTGGAGCAAAAGAGATGCAGTTGCTATGGCTCTCCCCAAATGGAAAAATATGTTTAGATTAGAACAACACGATACACTTCCAGGAGAGGAGAGAGGAAGCTGACAGAGGAGTGTTTCTCTCTTAGCTAGCTCCAGGGGTGATTTCAGTTATGTTAAGGAAACAATCATTAGGGGTCAAAGTGATGACCTTTATGTTGCAGCTGACCCTCCCTACCCTTCTTTCTTTTCTTCCCTTCGCTCACCAGCCGCCCACATTTATTGTAATTTCAATGGCCTGGAACGAATTAAGCCAAAATGCTTTGCCCATTTATAACCTATAGAAACCAGGTGACCAGAGCCAAAAAGCCAGAGGGGTTTGGGGGGTTGGGAAGGGGTGGTAGGGGGTCATTAGGGGGTTATCTCATGGCAATAGGTCAGTAAGGATACAAATCTGGTCAGGACCCACAATCCTCCCTTATCGCTCCAAAACGAACAAGAAGAGAGTCACACACATTGGCACACATAGGCATTGAGGAACACACACACGGACACACACACACACACGCACACACGGACACACACACACACACACACACACACACACACACACACACACACACACACACACACACACACACACACACACACACACACACACACACACACACACACACACACACACACACACACACACACACACACACACACACCACCAAAAGCTTCCACTTTTCCCTCTTCTTCCCTCCAAAACCATCCCAAAGTGATGTATGACTGAGCAGCAGAGAGAGAGGGGCAGAGAGCTTGCTTCTCTTCTGATATATCTATTGTCCTTGGATGAAAGACAACAGGGGTAACACTACACCCCCCTCACCCCATCCGTCCCTCCCTACACCCCCCTGTCTCCTCCCGCTTGTTGGTATTAGCTTGCTGTGAAGTAATTACTACCTACTGGGTTAGAAGCTCCGGACCCCCAGAGCCCCGAATTCCAACAGAGTCAATCAGACAGGCTAGACAGTCCAGACACACACACACACACACACACACACACACACACACACACACACACACACACACACACACACACACACACACACACACACACACACACACACACACACACACACAGCCTAAAGGGATAAACCTAAACCAGGAGACACATCAAAACAAAACAGTCAAATGGATTACATGCACTAATTATATAAAAGAGGGCAGGATGGGGGAGGGAGGGAGGGGGGGGGGGGGGGGGTATCCTAGAGATAAACAAACGGGGAATCCAGTTACCGGCTTTTATTTATCTAACCGATTGGGATGTTAGTTTTGGGGGGATTTTAAGGGTTTTGATGCACTTGAGCTGTTCTTTCATCTTATTGGGTAAGGGTAGTAGGGTGGGCCATTTGGTCAATTTAAGAGGTTGGGGGTTGAGAGGGCTGGAGAGTTTGGGGGAGGTTAAATTGAATCAGAAAAGCGGTAAAATAGTGATGAAGGAGAGATTCAGAGGTGGAGAGGAATGTGTTTAATTTACAGGGTTGTGTGAGGAAGAGAAGGAGGGAGAGAAGGAGGGAGGGAGGAGGGAGGGAGGAGAGGTGGTGAGGCGCTACCTGAGTTGTTAACACGACCTTTTGACACAGAGGTGTGAGATCCATATGTTTGGGGAAGGAGGGGAGGAGAGGAGAGCGCGCGCACACACACACACTACCCCCTGTCTCCCCCTAACACTCATAGATCAGAAACACTACCAGAGGTGTCCGATCTCGGGACAAATCCCCCTCTCTCAAGTCGACACTCAAATCAACCCTCTATCAGCACACTACAGTCTGCTACAGGAGAAACACTCACTCCCTCATACACCCCACAGTCTGTAAATCACAGGCTAAATGCCCTGACATCAAAACCTCCTTATTGTTAGTACCATCGGCTTAACAAAGGGATCAGTGTTACCATGCTTTATTATCTTTACAACAGCCGTCTTTGAGTGAAAGCAGAGAGATGGGATTTTTCACATGTGGCATATGGTGGGGGGACTTTATGTAATGTAATGCATTGTGATCCTTACAACAGGCGCAAAACATGTTTTGTGGGTTATAATATACCGTGGATATAAGTTTTAAATAATTGTTATTCTTACAACTGGTTCATAATATGTTTTGTGGTTAAAGAATATGCTTTGGATTTTAATAATGCATTGATTGTCCCGTGTGGCTCAGTTGGTAGAGCATGGTGCTTGCAATGCCAGGGTTATGGGTTCGCTTCCCATGGGGGACCAGTATGAAATAGTAAGAAAATGTATGCACTCACTACTGTAAATCCCTCTGGATAAGAGCGTCTGCTAAGTTATGTAAATTGTTCACTGGTATGTTTGTCTCGCAAATGTCCCTAGAAATTAGTGACATATAAATAAGCTTGATAAATAACTTATTTTCAAAGATATGTTACTGTTGACTTTGCAGCCTTATATCATATTGAGTGATGTTTGTTTGGGGAGTACAGTACAGGACAGTACAGTAGTTGGTTTCAAGGAAAGGGAACTCCATTCATCAAACGTGTTTGTTTATTTTGACCCTAAATGACCAGATAGACCAGATCAAAATAACGGAACAGATTTATTTTTTAGATTATAGTATACAGAGTTCATCAGATGTCTCTTCAATCTTCAGATACATTACTTATACAGACTAGATTTAAGTAACCTATAAATGAAACCTATAAATTATCTATATTTATTTATCTATATTTATAATTTAAGTATAATAAAAACGTGTGACTCATACTATTCAACTCACTACTACAAGGCCCATGAGTCTCATTACAGTTTGACCGAAACATGACCACAGTTGACCGTAGTTGATCCTAGTTGACCACAGGTATCAGGTATGTGTGTTACTGATAGCAGCTACACACTACACTATCCCTGGATGTTCACCAGAGTGAGAAGACTGTAGCCCAGTTCACCAGAGTGAGAAGACTGTAGCCCAGTTCACCAGAGTGAGAAGACTGTAGCCCAGTTCACCAGTGAGAAGACTGTAGCCCAGTTCACCAGAGTGAGAAGACTGTAGCCCAGTTCACCAGAGTGAGAAGACTGTAGGCCAGTTCACCAGAGTGAGAAGACTGTAGCCCAGTTCACCAGTGAGAAGACTCTAGGCCAGTTCACCAGTGAGAAGACTCTAGGCCAGTTCACCAGTGAGAAGACTCTAGGCCAGTTCACCAGTGAGAAGACGCTAGGCCAGTTCACCAGTGAGAAGACTCTAGGCCAGTTCACCAGTGAGAAGACTGTAGGCCAGTTCACCAGAGTGAGAAGACTGTAGGCCAGTTCATGAGAACCTCCTGGACTGGGCTTTTCTTTCCTCCTGTTCTTTTCAGGATCATTCTATCCTTTAATCAGATAAGAAAACAGAGAAAGTGGATGCTTGGAGAACACTGAAATGAGTCTGCCTAATTCACTTCCTCTCTCTCTCTCCCTCCCTCCATCCCTCCCTCCATCCAACTCTCGGTCACAGTGCCAAGCTGAAGAACAACAGGGAGGTGTGCATTAACCCCGAGACCAAATGGCTGCAGACGTACCTGAAGAATGCCATTAACAAGTAAGGAGAAACCTTACTTCCCTCTTTGACAAGTAAGAGCTGATCGCAGGGTAGCCTGTTCCCACATCTGCTTGTGCTGTCTTGCCAACTCTTATGGTCATTAATTGTCACGCCAAACCATAGGAGTTGGCAAGACAACACAAACAGATCTGGGACCAGGCTAGTTTGCCAGTAACAGTGAGAGACATGGAATGAAATACGCCCCTGTTTTCATGTGCAAAATCCACATGAAATGGGAGAAATGGGACTGCCTAAAAACAGTAACAATAGTTCAATGTAATTTTAAATCGCTCGTTTATCAGTATGATTAGAATTTTTGGAATGTGTGTGTCTCATTAAAAGAGATGAAAGTCACTGGTATTTCTGGGTGCTTGTTTCTCATGTGCATGTTAGCTACTCAGATAGCTACTGAGATATGAATTAAAGACTGGGAAAGAATGCTCTCTGCTCATGCCTTGCAATCCCTTTGATAATTTAAGCGTGGCATTTGGAGCATTCCAGGTCTTTCGGTAAACAATCAGAATTTATCTGGGAAATCGGGGATGTAGTAGAATTTCATGATCTTCAGTTAATAACTCAAACTTTTGGCCAAAAAAAAACAGGTGTTCTTTTCACTATTTAACTAACTTCATTCATTTCATGGCTAAAATACAGTAGTTTATGTATCAGTAAACAAATATGTGTAAATTGAAGGCATTTCCACAAAATTATCGGGACTAATTTGTCTACAAATAGTAAAAAATCATTTTTTGGAGGGAAAAAAATTCCACTAAGTTTTACACCCAAGGAGTAAACAATAAACTGTAAAAAAAATTAAAAATAAACAATAACAACAGATACAGTATACAGTATATTATAATGAACCTAAATGGCTTGTGCAGTTAAAATCTGTGTTAAATGTGCATTCCTCATAAAAACTTCACACATACATCATCTGGTGATCATTATCACCAACCACGCAAAATGTCTACCTCTTAAAAACGCCTATAGTAAACAATTTAAAATGGAGGAACATTTTACAGCAAATTAGGTGTTTTCTTGCTGTTTAGTCCCCAATGTGGCATAGTTACAAAAGACTGCATTTGCTCTAAATAGCTAGCTAAAAAGCTGTGTGTACAAATATTTCTAAGACAAGGCAGATCCAGATTATCTTGTTTATGAAGGCTAGAGTATATATGCTCTCGTAAAACTGTACCCTGTTTATAAGTCCAGTCTGCCAGACAAACAAACAATATTACTACACAACTAGATACTGGAGGCCTACGTGACATGTTACAAACTGTTAGAGAAAAAGGTGCTATCTAGAACCTAAAATGGTTATTTGGCCATTCCCATAGGAGAACCCTTTTGAAGAAACATTTTTAGTTCCAGGTAGAACCCTTTGGAGTTCCATGTGGAACCAAAAATAGTTCTCCCTGGAACCAAAAGGGGTTCTCCTATGGGGACAGCCGAAGTACCCTTTTGGAACCCTTTTTTCTAAGAGTGCATGATTCAAAACCCTGCATGATGCAGAACATAGCGTCAATATACCAATGAGAACCGTACTAAGTATTTACTATCAAATTACATTACATTAGGGCCCAGAGTTGTTCTTAATCAGGTGATGTCAAGTGGACACAGTTACACCCATGAATCCTCCATTAATCAGTGTCATATTCCTCTCTTTCTGTCTCTCCAGGGTGAAGAAGTCCAGAAGACGTGCTCAGTAAAGGAGACCTAGTCCCAGGCCAGCTCTCCCCCTCCTCCTCCTCCTCTACTACTCAGATATGTAACTCCACATACTGTATCTACACGTCTCTGCTCTGGAACGCTCTGGAACACTCTGGAATGCTCTAGAACGCTCTGGAACGCTCTGGAATGCTCTGGAACGCTCTGGAATGAACGCTTGCAAAACCAGCACTTCACCACCAGACCGACCATGATGCCTTGCTGCTTCTGCTGACCCTGCCGCCACCCTGCCTCCCACGCTGCAGACGCCTCTCCTCACGTTGTTAGCACCAAGTGCAGTTATTCCTAATTATATCGGAATGTGTGAGTACGCGTGTAAAGAGTGTGTGAGCGAAAGTGCATGTCTGTGGTTTTATTCAGTGTGCTTGTTCTTAGTGTGTGTGTGTGTGTGTGTGTGTGGTGTGTGTGTGTGTGTGTGTGTGTGTGTGTGTGTGTGTGTGTGTGTGTGTGTGTGTGTGTGTGTGTGTGTGTGTGTGTGTGTGTGTGTGTGTGTGTGTGTGTGTGTCTGAACTGAGTGTGTAAGTGTACGTCTGTATATAAAGTATTTTCCTACTTTTACAAGGGACATTTTAAGATTTTACACCCAGCTCGCCGTCTCAAATGGGCTGAGCAAGGGCTTGTGGGTATCCCCAGGGGTGGGCTCTGACTGAGGGGTCATGGGATTGGAACAGGAATGAGCTGGCCAATGGGTTGAGCCCACTCTGTAATAGGTGACCAATCAGGGCTGATCAAACATTCATAACAAGGGAAAAAGACAGAAGTCACCCCTAACTGATCCAAGGTCAGAAGTTGTTTAAGCCCTGATGGTTACGACTAGGATGGTAGAGAAGGAAATCTGATCCTAGATCTGTGGTTAGGGGCAACTTCTATGTCAAGCCTTAACAAGCCATCCAGTCTAGCCAAGACAATGGAGATCCTCAAACTATAACAAGGGACATGCATTGATTCAGGTGTTTCAACTCAAGGGATCAGAAGCCATTAGTTTGAACTGATGCATATTCTTTCTATATTTCTTACGGGATCAATTATGTCAGGGAGAGAGGCTGTGCACTGAATCACATGCATTTCATCAAGGCTATGTGTAGTTGCCATTCACAAGAACAGACCAGTGAAGATCCAAATCAGATGATACGTATAGGCCAGTGGTTTCAAACCTCTCCTCTGGGACCCCCAGATGTTTCACAATTTAGTTGTAGCCCTGAACTAACTCACCTGATTCACCTATTCAAGGCTGTTTAGTTGACAAGTTGAATCAGGTGTGCTAGCTGTGGAATAGATTAGATCCATGGAACGGCTGGGGGTCCCTGGGGAGAGGTTTGAAAACCACTGCTGTAGTAAAAGTAAAGTTATCTGTTGTAATAAAGCCGACAGCCTTTATTGGAGGCAGGCAATTCTGTATTACAGTTCAGTCCTGTGTCGAATAGAAAAGCCCACAAAGAAGAGTAACTTAAGCAACTCAGCAAGTGCCAAGTGTTGTAAGAAGGATGGCCTTGTAGGATAAGATTGTAATGCAAAACAGGGATAAAAACCCATTTCAACGCAGCTTTTATACAGTTTGTATGAATGTAATGTTGTCCGTTTCTATAGTGTAGGCTATAAGGCATTGGATGAGACACCAAGTCTTTATTCAGCAAAACAAGCAATATGAAATAAATGTACCTCTATATTCTGGGTATTTACTGACAAATACTGTAGCAAAATAATTGCTGTATTATATGAAGTATAGTAAGATTTATAACATACATTTCTATACAGGATCACATTGTCTGATTATTGGATTTCACTTATCAATTGCTTGGGAGCTCACTTTAGGCCAACTCCATAGTCATAAACCAACACCAATCCTTAGGCAGGATTTTAAAGCTAGTATACGGCCACATGAAATACCTGTTACTATACTACAGTATTGACTATCACATTGAAACTGAATGTTGCTGAGCTGGGGGCGAAAGAAAGTTACTCTCCTTTGATTGTTGAGCCACTTTAAATACCAGATGTGTCTTTTAAATATGTATTTTTACTGTAATGATTTTTATTTTTTTATTTTTTATACAATCTAAGGTAATGAGATATAACATAGTATTTTTAAGTACATTTAAGCAGTACTAGTTGAAGGCATAACCAGAGAGTACTGTATCCCAACCACAGTACTACTGTATTATCAAATCACATTTTAAAACATTTATCACTTTTACAAAAACGTTTATTTGCAATATCATAAAAACACAATATGTTATGGCAAACTTTCTGTTTGCTTTATTTTGTGCAGCTGCAACATGTTGAAGTTAATGTAATAAACATTTATAGTCCCCCAAATGAAATTGTGGTGACAGGTCTAACTTGAACAACAACAGAATGTTATAGAAATACAGGGTTCATCAACATAGTTTGCCCTGATTCGTCCATCCCTTGAGGAGGTTTATCCTAATCAACCAATAATCTGAAGGCATTCATCCCTGATGCAAGATGGGCAAATCTAATAAATCTGGATAGTAATCCAACACACTGAGATACTTTAAAACAAACATTACTGTTGTCATTAGGATATTTCAGTTCAGGCAGTCATTCCACAGAACCTTCAATTTAATCCTCATTAGAAACCCCTAGAACACTCTAGAACAATGTCACTCTAGAACACTCGAGAACACACTCTAGAACACTGTAATTGGGATTCCGTTCTATTTCTCCTGACAGTATTCTACAGAGTTTAAAATATGAAGTACCAATTGTACCACGGTGCCAAGACAGAGAACAATACATTTAAGTATGAGCCAGGGGACCCACACATGTTTTCAATCAAGCCACTCCCTCCCAGATAGCCATCCCTCAATTATGTTGATTTCTATATTGTTTTACTGTTGCCATTGTTTTTCTATTGTCAAAATAGAGTTCCAGGTCTATTCAAATCTCCAGGCGTCTTAGTCTGTGAGCTAAGTGCAGCTGTTTTGGTCCAGAAGTTATTAAGTATCTGTATCAAATCGTTATAAGGTGAAGTTTTGCATAAAGGAAGGGAATTTGGTCATGATTTAAGTGTTTGAGAACCATTCTGTTTAATGTCATGTTAAAGTTAGCTCTACAACCAAACCAAACAATATGGCTGTTACCATTTTACTTATCATATCTGTTATTTGGACCACATGTGCAAATAAATCATTTTATAAGCAATAACATCCAAAATGGAAATGTATGTATGTATTTTTTTAAATATTTGTTTCATAACTGTATTTGTTCTATATGGGTGCTCTCCCCAGACAATGTGAATAAAATGTTAAAATGTTAAATTCTTTTGAGGCAGCTTACGACACAAGTATACTTAAACTAAGATGGATTGTTTAACCTCTGTATGTTCACTGTTTGTACAAACCAAGAAGCAATATGATACCTACGCTATATGATACTCACCCTCTTTTTCAATAAACATATAAAATAAAAAAACGGAATGTTTCATTTCTTCTTAAAAAATTAATATACAAATAATTTGTATATTTATTGAAAGCAGCATCAATAGAACAATATTACAAATTGTCTCCACTTTATTTGAATGTTTAATTTCTCCTTTATTGTTACTGTTATGTTTTCATTGCAATGCAGACCCATCACAATTGTGTTTCGTTATGACTACAGACGCTCTGACAGAAAATGTCACATTAGATAAGACTGAAGGATGTAGATATTTCTGTTTCACTACAAAATAATTTCACTTAGAATCATCCAAACCAGTTTGACGGTAATAGATGCTGGATTCCTGACTCTCACACACACAACCTAGACAGGTGGAATAAAACCAACAAACACATGCACGAGCGCGCACACACACCCACCCACCACACACACACCACACACACACACACACACACACACACACACACACACACACACACACACACACACACACACACACACACACACACACACACACACACACACACACACACACACACACACACACACACACACACATGAACCTTCTGCTTTCCACAGGAGTACAGACCCATAGAAAGTCTATCTTTGCAGCTTGGGGCGACAGCCATCATATGTATCTATTGTATACCTGCTGAAACCACAGGGTACAGTATAACTTAAAGGGCAATTCCACCACTTTTCAACCTCATTTTCAGTATCACCAGCACAATACCAGTGTCTACATTATGTGAAAACGGCGCATTTCCACGTTTTTTTGAAAAAAGTATAAAGTTAAAACGTTCTACCCGATGACATCATCAAAAGTTAAAACATTTTAAAAACAGTGATTTTCAAACACTATGAGATTCACGGTGACGTGGGGAGCAAGAACATGCCCTCCCTTGGGCTAGACACTCACTGCAGGTATTTATCGGACTTTTAATCCTACCCTGTGATGTCACAGAGAATATATGTTTTAGGACCTGTCTTCTTATCTTTAACCACAGATCATAGAAACCTGCCGTTTTCACATTAGGTAGACACTGGTGTGGTGCTGGAGATAATGAATATGAGGTTGAAAAGTGGTGGAATTGCCCTTTAAGCCAAAACCTCAGCTTACATCAGAACTGCAACATTTCTGTGGCAAGTCGTTTCAACTAGACTATGTGTGCGTCCCAAATATCACCCTAATTCCTATTTAGAGCCCCATAGGGGTCTCGGTCAAAAGTAGTGCATTATATAGGGAATTTGGGTTCCATTTGGGACGCACACTGTCACTTGACATTTCCCCTTTAAAACTAAAGCATGGTGGGAAAAAAGAAAGAAACAGAAAACGTAAAGGTACAAGCGAGGGCCATCAACAACCGTGTCCAAGTTTTTAACACCTCCGGTTTCATGTAGTGTGTGTGTGTGTGTGTGTGTGTGTGTGTGTGTGTGTGTGTGTGTAATTGAATGTATTCGTTAGTCCTGGTTCGTTACCCGTCTGTAGCACCGGGGAGTTACCACCAATACATAAAGCTGTCTACTTTAATCAAGTGGAACCAGATTAACTTCATGTTATAGGCTACGTTCCAAATGGCACCCTAATCCCTATATGGTGCACTACTTTTGACCTGAGCCCTATGGGTCCTGGTCAAAAGTAGTGCACTATATAGGGATTAGGGTGCTATTTGGGATGTAGGCATAGACTTTCTCTTTTGGCT